AAGTTTCTTATTGGTAGGTGCTATTCTCAGGGCTGTGGAATGTGCTGTTACCTGTGGGGCTAGGAGTCTCCGTTTTTACCTTATAGGGCAGTTTTTATGCCAGGGCTTGCTTAATCTATAGTTTCCTGGAAGAGGGGTGGGGAATAGCAGGCGGGGGTCAGGGCATGTCTAGGCATGTCTAAAGCAGCAGCCAAGCATTTTACAGAAGCTAACAGAGCAATTAGTAGGGGTCTGAAGGGATTGGGGGGTAGCGGGTGAATGAAGAGGGTCTCAGGGTTCTACAGTTAGTATGCTTTAAAAAAAAAATTAAGGGCTGGAGAGATGGCCTCTTGCCGAGGACCCAGGTTCAGTTCTCAGTGCCCACATGGTGGCTAACAACCAACCGTAGCTCCAGTTCCAAAGGATCTGGCAACCTTTTCTGGCCTCCACAGCCATTGTATGACGTGGGTACACTTGCGTATACGCAGGCAAAACACTCATACATATAAAATAAGAATAAATTAATTTTTAAAAATTAAATGAGAGAATGATCTATCACTGTGTTTTTGTGGTACCACTGTGGGGTTTGGGAATTTGAGTGATCTTAGTTAGCCTCATGAAGTGATTTAGGCGATTTTCCTTCTATCTGTCTGTATTATTTTAAAAAGTTGGTACAAGGTTGGTGTTAGCTCTTATTTGAATTTTGATAAAAGTAGCCAGTAAAACAATCAGGGCATGGGATTATTTTTCAAGGAATTTATTCATTTTTTTAATTGGTCGAAATGGTTGACATTAGGTTGTGGTTACGGTAGCACAGTTGGTATAGTGCTTGCCATGTAAACATGAGGATCTGAGTTCAGATTCCTAGCACCCATGTAAACAGTCAAGTGTGGTGACACACGCCTGTAATCACAGCTCTAACAAGGTAGGTAGGTACCTCTGGAGCTTGCTGGCCGGGCAATCCAGCCAAATTGGCCAGCTCCATGTTCAGCAAGAGACCCTTCCTCAGAATATAAGGTGGAGCTCAATCACATTAGACATCAACATTGACCCCTGGACTCTACTTGCACATATCCATCAATGCATATACACACGTTCACCACATACACAATTGCTGGCATAAAGTTGTTCATGAATTATTTTACTATCAATTTACTATCTTAGGCCTATAGTAATAACACTCAGTTTCTCTTTTTGGATGATGAAAATGTCAGCTTTATTGCTTTTTAACTGCTTTATGATTTCTTTTTCTTATTTCTTTTTTAGGTTACGACACAAAGCAATGGGTTTAATTATGGAATTTTCATACATATGTGTCTTTACACTTTATTCTCAGTTGTCCCCTCTCCTTTGACTGGCTCTTTTTCTTCCTCCTACATAGTGCCCCTTTTTTTCTTATCATGTGTATTTTATTTCTATATATTTCCCTCCACCTTAAAATTTCTGCCCTGCTTTTCTAGTTTTATGACCTACACACACACACACTCACTTTTAAATGTAAGTTCTGCACGTGAGAGAAAACATGCAGATTTTGTGTGTTTTTAAAAAATATTTATTTTTATTTTGTGTGTGAGTATATTGCCTGCATGTATGTAAGTACACCAATGTTTTGCAGTACTTGTGGAGGTTAGAAGAGGGTGTCAGATCCCCTGAAACTAGAATTATGGACAGTTGTTAGCTGCCATGTGGATGCTGGGAACTGAGCCCGGGTCCTCTGCAAGAGCAGCCAATGCTCTTAACCCCTGAGCCATCTCTCCAGCCCCCATTTTTTGTCTTTTTTAGTCTGGCTTATATTGCCTATCATGATACTCTCCAGTTCCATTCATTTTTCTTTTCTTAATTTTTAATTTTTTATTTAATTTTTATGTATTTCATACATAATATCTTAATCATCTTTATACTCCCTTCCCCATTGGTCCCATCCTATAGCACCCCCACCTGAATTCATACATCCTGTCATTTGTGTTAAGGCCAATCATTTTTCTATAAATGACATTTCATTCTTCTTTATGGCCAAACAAAACTCTACATATTCCTTACCATTCATCTATTGATAGACATCAGAGTTGCTTCCATTTCCTGGCAGTTGTGGGTAGTGCAGCAGTAAACATGGATGTGCAAGTATCTCTATGGTATGCTGACTCAGAGTCCTTCGACTATATATCCAAGAGTGATGTGGTTGGGTAATATGGTAATTCTAGCTTCAGTTTGTTAAAAAATCTCCACACCGATTTCCACAGTGGCTGTATAAGTTTACATTTCCACCAGCAGTGAGTAAGGGTTCCTCTCTTCCACATTCTTACCAGTGTCTGGTTTTTTTTTTTCTTGATGTTTGCCATTCTGACTGGAGTGAGATAGACTCTCAGAGCAGTTTCATTTTGCATTTCCCTCATGCCTAAGGCTGTTGTACTTATTTGCCATTTGTATTTTTTTTAATTTATCTATTTTTATTTTATGTGTGTGTGTATTGCCCACATGTATGTAAGTGCAACGTGTGTGTGCAATGCCCACAGAAGACAGAAGAGGGCGTTAGATCCCCTGAATCTGGAATAATGGACATTTGTTAGTCACTGTGTGGGTGCTAGGAACTGAACCTGGGTCCTCCACAAGAGCAGCAGTGCTCTTAACTACTGAGCCATCTCTCCATCTCCAGCCATTTGCACTTTTTATTTTGAGAACTATCTGTTCAGGTCATTCGCTCATTCCTGACATTCCTTCTTTGTGTGTCTGTGGTATCTGTTGGCCACACTTTCCCTTGCAGTCTTTGTGCTGGATAGGTTCTCTCATCTTCCTCCCTTCACTCCCTAGACCATAACCTCCTGAAGCAGCTCATGTCTTATCTGGGTCACTGTCTCCAAGTA